AAGCAATAAGCAGTTTCATATCAGTTTAGGACAGGTTTTGCTGCCAAATAAATTTGTTGTAAGCTTTAAAAATTGTGCGTAAGGAGTAATGAACTTTTGTATCTGTGTTTAAGGCTTTAAATATGTGTTATTCAGATCTAAGTATTTCTAATTTTTATTTTGATTTTTTTCTTTGACCAAAGCATAATGTTTTCTTTGAGCTTTCTTCTCAGTGATTTAAAAGTTATTTCCAGGTGGTTAGAAAACATATTCCGAATGATACCTTTTCCAAATGATGCTAGTACTGTTTTGAGACTTGCTTTATGTCTCACTTTATTGGAAATTTTTGCAAATATTTCATGGGTTTATCATAAAAATATATGTTCTGTATTTGTTTTATTTCAGGGTCTCTTGTGCCTGTTGCATCAAGCATTTTAATTATTGTTCTAATAGTTTACAGTCTTAGCCATTTTCTGTTTGTTTGCTATATAAATGAGAAAGAAAGAGTAGAGAGATCAGTATTACCCACTATGTGGATTTATTCTGTGTTGTTTTTTAAATTGTTTAGTTTGAAAGTATGTTATTAGATGTATGTGGACTCACATTTTTACATCTTTTTGAATGTTCCTTTTGGCATTATAAATGACCTCTCTTATCTCTAATAATACTTTTTACCCGAAAGTCCATTTGTCTCATAGCAATATAGCTATACCAGCTTTTGTGATATATAGTTAGCATGTGATTAATTCAGTATTCAGTTTTACTGTGCCCTTATGTGTAGTTGTTTCTTTTGTGCATAGTTGGATTGAAAAAGCCAATCCTAGTATCTTCATTTTTAACTGAAGAGTTTAATCTGTTTACATTTATCATGATTACCAACTTATTTGTATAATTAACACTAATATCTGCTGAAATGTCAGGTGATTCACAATTTTCCCAGTAAAATTTAAAACCATTTTTTGGCCACTTTGATATGTAAACTTAAAGGGATATATAAGAAATAGCCAGAAATAATCTTATTTGATTTATTAATTTAATTGCAAATATATATTTAAAATCACATTGTACAAATAATATATCCAAAAATACTGCTTTTTCCCTTACTGTGTGCAGTAATTTTATTCTCATTCTTCATAGGGATCTTGCGTACCATATTCATCATTAGAATCACTTTTTGAAAAATTTATATTTTTCAAAGTCTCTCATTTTCACTTCTATCTGAATACTTGAAATTCATAACTTTTTAAATGCGTATATGTTGTTGTCCCTCAAAATTTTACCCACATCTCAAATATCTATTCAGTATTTGTGATTATAACACTTGACCCCTTGCAGTATTGCTTTTCGTTGTGGTCTTTAAAAGGTTTGTTTACCTGCTTATATAGTGCTTGCATTGTGAAGTCCCACTATAAATGTACTATAAATGAACATATGTACTACATCTGTGTCAAATTATTTCACCTCTCTTTAAAAAAAAACAAAAACAAAAAAAACCTGAATTCTTCAAAACACCTAGAGGTAGCATTAATAGAGATCGATTCTGGCCGAAGCTGTAACTAGTTAGAATTGGGTTAAGTTGCATATATTAGGAATTCCAAACTTACATGGCTTGAGCAAGGTAGGAGTTTGTTTGTCCTCACCTGCAAGTGTGGAGAGAGGCAGCTCCGCAGATGGTCAGGGATACAGATTACTATCCTGTTGCTCTGCCCTTGAGGCGTGTGGCTTCCATTCATGAGTCACCTTGAGACAGGATGACAGGCAAATGGGCAGAAAAGAGGCCCCTTCCAGCTTTGTCAGCTTAGTTAAGGCAGTGTTGGCCACACCTAGTTGCAAGAGCAGCTGACAAACGCGGTCTTCTGTTCCAGGGTATTGTAGGAATAGGAGAATGCATGTTGAGTTGGCAACTGTGGGTCTGCTGAGTGTGAGTGCAGGAGTGCACAGTGATACAGGGGACTGAGAACACTGTATGGCACTCCCTGTTACCTTAAGGATAATACCTAGGAAAAAATGTCTTATAGATGCTATTTCTATCATCTTTTTTTCTAAATATGAGACTTTTACTTTTTTCATTTTTTTCCCCTTGCCTTCTTGTCTACTTGATCAAGTTTTCTTGATTACATTTTCTTCATTCCTCCCTTCCCCTCATAGTCAACATGAGTATTTCGTGTCTAAATTTTAATAAATATTTCTCTCCTCCTTAGTATAGGGACTTACTAGATTCCTTCTACTTTAGTCATTCTCCCTCCCCACATCACCTTTCATGATATCCTAGTTTGGTATTGGAGTTCCCCTTATTTTATATCCCCAGGATTATTATTTTTGAGAATCACTACTTCTTTACCTATTTACCAGTGTCTTCACTGATCTTTGGATATTTATTGCTTTATCCATGCAACTTCTTTGGGCTTAAAATTCCTTTTTCTAAAGTATATTCTTTATTAGATCCTTCAGTAGGGATTCGTAGAAGATAATCTCTATCTCTTACTGAGAATGTTTTTATTTTACTTCCTTGAGTGACAGTGGATAATAGGTTCTAGGTGGATAGTTATTTTCCCTGCATCTCTTAGAAAATTCTTTCATTGTGTTCTGGCCTCTGTTCTGATGAGACTAGTGATAGTCCAGTTGTTGTCCATCTTTTGTTGTTCTGGTGGCTTTTACATTTCTCTTTATCTTCAGAATTCTGCACTTTCACTATAGTATGTCTTCCTGTAATTCATATTTATCCTGCGTGGGATTCATTTTTCCTCTTCAGTCTATAGATTCCTGGCTTATATGAATTCTGGGAATTTTTTAGCTATCTCTTCAAACATTCTCTCACTTTTTTCCTCCATTCTTTCCTTCTAGAACTTCTGTTTGATCCTCAACCTTTTCTTTATATCCTCTGTGTCCATTATGCACTCTTTTATATTCTGACATCTCTTTGTAATTTTCTCAGTTCTTTCATTTTTCTGCTGTGTCTGATTGGGTATTTAATCTATCTCTTGGATTTCTGATTTTATTGACCCTTAGATTTTGTTTCTGGAAGTTATATTTGGGTATTTTACAGATCTTCCTGTCCTTTTCTTAATAGTTCCTTAAACTTTTCTTATGTTTACGCTTTTGATCTTCAGCACTTTCTAATGTTCTGGTGTCTCAAGTTCTCGGAAGTGGGTCCTTCTGCATGTTTTGCTTGCTGACTCTCACATGTAGTGGGGGTGTGATTTTTGATTGAGAAGGGTTTTCTTTTCCCGCCTTTGAGTCCTGTTGGGCCTTGATGGTGGGTGGAGTTGTCCTTCTGGTTGGTTTTACTTGCTTCTGCGACCTGCCCTATAGGATTTTAGGCTCCAGGATTCCTGTATCAAGTGCCCAGTATGACTTATTACTGCTGGCCTGCAGGGGGCACAGGTGTGAGGCTTCCACTTCTCACTGGAAGCTTTGTTCCTTCCCTGCTCCAAGTGCTAGGCAGAAATGGCATCCCTGCATCACATCGTGCTGCTTCCTGACAGCTTTTGGATTGTGGTCAGGGGCTCTGAATGTATTTATTCTTCATAGTTTGTTTCCTGTGTGTTACAATTTTTGTACAGTGGTCTCAACTTTCACAGCAACAACCTTTATTACAAGGTGTGTCTACCTAGGTGTTTTGTTTTCTCATCTTTTTGTGACTGCCAATACCTCTGTAATCAGGGGGAACTTAGGAAACTTAAACCCTGAGAAGTAGGAAACTAAATAACATGATGGATTCAGAATCATGGTGGTTGAGGAGGTGAGTGATGCTAGAATTGAAAGAGAAGCCCTTGAAGCCCCAGGGAAGAAGGAAAAAAATATGTAGAGTGCGCCTCTTATGTACCAGGCACTTTTATGACAATTACCTTGAGGGGTAGGTTCTCCCCCGACTTATAGATGAAGAAACTGAGGATCACAGAGGCCAGGTGACATCCCTGCTTCTGAAGTCAGCAGCAGCCGTAATGCAGTGAGGTCTCTCTAGTTGACTTCACAACCCACGTTGTTTTCACTGAGTCTTCTTGCCTTTTTTGTGAGTTGATCAGCTTTTGTGAATTTACTTCAAATTGTCATTCTTTTCCTTCCCTGGTTTCCCAGTATCTTGTGTTCTTTGCGCATGGATTACCAATTCTGTTAAAAGGTATCAATAAAAACAGCGCTTCTTAGTCGTTTCTGGCTGCGGTGCATTTTATGGAGCCACCCAGTATATGGACCAATACAGATACATAGTTCTTTACCTCACCCTGTGTGATGTTTCTCATATTTTCTATTCTGTTCTATTTTGTCTTTTTGTTTCCATTGGTTAAAATAGGCTGGTTGTGACTAATTAACTTGGTCTCACAGCCGTTTAATGGTTTGTGACCGGTAGTTTGACCCTGGGTTTGTGAAGCATGGCTTCCGACTTGAGTAGATGGCCGCAGAGGGCTTCGCAAGTCATCTCCTCAGGAGCCCATTCCCCTGCCCCAGCTGTGCTCAGATCCAGCTCCTGTGCCGCTGGCCATCCTCATTCTCCCTCCACCCCCAGGAATTTAAGAACGCTTAAATAGCATTCCAATGTTAACTTTAGAAATTGGGAACATATCCCACTTACTCTTTTAGTGACTACCTATAGATAACATTTATTTTAAACCACATAACTGTAAGATTGTAACTCACTCTGCCTATTCTTGCCTTTGGTCTTGATCATTATATATTTCCTCCCTATTTGTCTTATTCCAAATTTTTTCTGAAATGTTTAGCAGCTTTCTCAAGGGAATCTTAAAGCCAAAGCAAAGATTTGCCATTCTTCTATCTTGGAATTCTAGGTCATTTTATTTAAGTCATACAGGGTGGCTTATTAAAAATAAAATTAGTGGAAAAGTGTCTGATTTTTAATGTACCAATCTCTAATTTGACTTCCTAAAAACAAAAAATAAAAGGGAAAACCAGGGTGCCAGTGGGTAGAATGACAACACCATTGTGTCATGCCTGCCACCACGGTAATACAATAACGTGTAATGTGAGTGTGTGTTAAAATGTCCCTCTCTGTCTCTTTTGCCTAGCCCTCCAAGCCACAACATTGTAGTGAATGGAAAGGAATGTATAAACTTTGCTTCATTTAATTTTCTTGGATTGTTGGATAACCCTAGGGTTAAGGTGAGTAGCACAAAATGCTGACATGGACAGATGACATTACTAACTTAAAAAAGTGGACATAAAACACAAATGCAGAATATCAGAAAGGGGCTATGCAAGTGTTCTCCATTACTCTTTGTCCAACAGACTTGTGACCTGGACCTACACAGAGGGAGGCAAGAGTGTCTAACCTGGCTTAGTGTTGGGTGACAGCAAAGAACTGAATAAGCCAGACCTGAGTAACAGTTGGAAAAATGTCTGGGAGATTGCTCTGTTTCCTCTTGGGATTGTAGGCTAATAAGCATTTTTCAGCAGACACTTAGGCCCACAAAGGCAGAAAAGTTAACCAGATTTTGAGAATCAAGCTAATATAATTTTTCCGTATTTTAAGTTATATACTAAATCTTTACATCTGTCTTTTCTTTATATCCTGTTAGAATTATCATAGTCCTAAGAAAGGAAGAAAAGTAAGGGAAGGAGGAAGGAGGTATGTGGGTTAAAGAATAGGAAATGTTAGTTTTGTACTCTGAAAGATAAATTAGTAAAGTATAATTTTTTTTTACTTTAATAAAGGCCGCAGCTTTAGCATCTCTGAAGAAGTACGGTGTGGGGACTTGTGGACCTAGAGGATTTTATGGCACGTTTGGTAAGTTTTGTTGTGTTCTTTTTCATGCTATTACTTTCAAGGATTAAGATGCAATTCTATTTCAGAACACCTTGGAAAAATATCCTTACTTAGTTGTGGTGTTAAGCTGATATGTGTGATTTCTTACCTAACTTTCTAGAACATTTTGTGGTTGGGAACTGCTAAAACGCCTTGGTCTGGGGTTGAGTGGGACTTGTGGAGAAGGGAGCAGTGGAGCCCACAAGGCTAGGCCATGTCAGGAGGGTGAAGACAGAGGTGCTGTTGCGCATGCCCCAAGGGGCAGTGGTGTGAGAAGACAGTTTGTTTCTGTTGTGCCTAACAGCTGCAAGGTTAAAGGGTTCAGTGTGAGTGGCTCTGCTCCTCTTAGTCATTCAGGAACTGGGATCTTCCCATCTTGTTGCCCTAGTGTCCGTGGGCACCCTCCTTGTTTGCATGTGTGGGGGTCGCATGTGGGGACCAGAAATGCAGAGCAGCAGTGCCCTTTATGCAGGGAGGCGGCGTTGCACACTGTGTCTTGCATCCGCAGAATGCAGGGGAAGTGGCATTTAATGGTCCCACCCACAGCCCATTGATGAGACTATAACCCCAGGTGGTGACTGGCCACAAAGGAGGCTGGGAAGCAGCTTTAACTAGGCAGCCATGTGCCAGGTAGAACGTCCAGAGCAGATTTCAAGCGGAGGGTAGGATAAGCTACATATAGCTTTGTTTCTTTCTGGAATGAAGATGAAGGATCATTGATTTCCTTGTGTGTGGATAAGTAAATATTCGATGAGTATATGATTTCAAATACCGTGAACTCCCTAACTCAGTCATCAAAGGAGAAAGACCCTCTCATTTTATGGTTGTTTTTATTAAGCGTATATTATTTTTTGCTTCTGAAAATGTCATTAAATAATTGTTCAAACGAATATATTGCTGGAAATAACATCCGGCTTACAAAATGTCAGAGTGTGCAGAAAGTAGAGCAAGGGAAATATCTTGTGTCTTCTATCCTTATTTCCACTTCTGGATCTTTTTGTGATTTTTTGCTTTGAAAGTTTTTTTTGTTTGTTTGTTTGTTTAATGTAAGGAAGCACCTTTTTTATTCCTTAGCTAGTTTGGTGGTTAGTTACATTATTTGTTTTGGAAACAGATGAGAAGAGTTAGTGCCCAAGAATCCTACAGCTGGAAGGGATCTTAAAAATCTAGTATTCCATCATTCCACCTATTCAAAAGAGGAAGAGAAAGCCCAGAGAGGTTAAGTGTCTTTCTCACACTCACACAGCTCATGAATTTCAGCCCTAAAGTTGGAAAGCAGATATTCTGACATGGTTCCAAGACTTGATGGCAAGATCAAAGAAATGAGCTCAGATCAATCTCCCGCTTTCCTTTAGTCTAATGTGAACATGAGTTGTTTGCTTGGTTTTTATTGGTAGGGAATTATTTCCTTGACAAGTATTAGTAAACTAGAAAAGGTATGGGATTTTTTTATGGGATTATTGGTTGTAATCTGATTAACAAGGCTTTCTTTCTGTGACTGCTTGCTGGGGAAAAGGAATTGCTTTCTTAAAAGCTTCTCTTTCTAGTGGATTTTATTTACATGTGTGACCTTGACCCTTGCTTGAGACTTAATCTGAAAAGATCGGTGAGAGATTTATTTATTACCAGATCAAATTTTAGGGGGAAAAAAAATGTTTCAAATTTTCAAGACCAGTTTTCTCAAAGCTGTGAAATATGTTGTTAAAACCATCAGTTTTCCATTTGCATGACCTGCATGGTAGGTGGTTTCAAACATGAGGTCTTTAGATTAATGGTTTTTAAATTAATTTTCTTGATTGGGTAGTTGAGTATGCAATATAAACTTCAAAATGGGTGCAAAGATAGATGTGAGAGGTCTTCTAACCCCGGCTCTATCCTCCCACTGCCATCCCACCCTCCAAAAGACCAGCTATTATTAGTAGTTTCTTGTCAATTCTTCTAGAGTCTTTCTTTCAGCATATGCAAACCACTTGCATACATGTATTCCGCCCCCCACCATTTTTACAAAAATGCTAGCATACCATACACACTGTTCTGTACCTTGCTGTTGAAGTGAGTGTGTTTTAAATTTAAACTGGATTTGATCTTTCAGGTGTCTATATGGGCCACCACAGGCAGTATAATGAAGGCACAGTTGTGTATCAGACCCTCTGTAAACTACTTTATTGGTGACTCATCCTTATCCTTATTGATCACTGAGTCATCCTTATCCTAAAACTGTAGTTGAAGGTTCATACAGACTGGCTCCCAAAGATTGCAAATTAATTTGCAGTGGGATGGTTTTATAACAAGACACCAATGTCTTAAAGCAGTATGTGATGTTTTTAGAGTGCATTGTCCTTCAAATAAACTTGTTTTCTTTCCTTCTTAACAGTTGCCCATGTTTACTTGTCATCTTTTTTTCTTTATTATAATATATCTATCTCATATTTGTACTTTTTTGGTTTTCCAACAATATTATTTCTGTTTTTCCTTACTCTGGAAGTAATTACTTGAATTGTTATAGTTATATTAAATTACCTTGAAATTTTAGCATTAGATAAAATCAGAGAAGGTCATCTAAGGCTACATTTTAAATCTCTGAAATACGCTGTACAATTAAATTATTCTAAATATTTAAGGTAGATTTGCCCTTTGTGCTGAGCAGTAAAGCAGACATGAGGCCTCTCTCTTTTCTGTAGTTACTTGTGTATTCTGGAAGAGTTTAGTTCAAGGGTTAAGATCTCTTTCTCTGCGCTCTGGGTTGCTTTTAATTGTGGTCATTTTTTTTTTCCTGGAAGTATCACATTGAGGCATCTGTTTTCAAAGCCTACTACCTCTTGTAGCTCTTTTCTCAACTTTTCAGATAATGGATGTAAATCATTTTACTTATAAAAGTAAATTTCCTTATTAAACATTCTTTCCTGTTACTGTTTCATGGTAACATATATGTTAGATGATTAATACAGAACAAGAAAATGGAGCAACAGTAGAGTTAAAATTCATCTAGTTTTTAAGGCTAAATGTTCCCCTAATTCCTACAGGCCTGGCAGGTAGAACTACCCAGGTTCTTAGAATAGTTTCATAAGGGCTGTGTGATCCAAATTTCTTCCCACCTACTTGTGTGTATTTTAGAACTGAGCAAGTGGTTTTATCAAGCCTACCTTCCCTCTAAGGCTGGAGAGGGTCCCAGTGCACTTCTGATAGTATCGTTTATTGAACTTTGTTTTGTTTTGTTTTGAATCTGTTAACATCTCATTTACCTGTGATTTATCCCTCATGCCCTGGGAGCTGTTTTGTATGTGTAATGGCTCCTGGGTCTTAGACTAGATCAAGAAAAAAATTGTGTGGCAGGGTTTCATTGTGAGAGATAATGGTACTTAATTGTGTTCAAGAGCCAGTCTAGAGTAAACAATTGTTCATTTGGGTAGTTTTCAAAACTATTTTCCTTGTTTGTTTTAGAACATCCAGCTGATCCATGACTGCATGCTTTAATAGGAAGAATATTTGGTTATAAAATTCCTCGATCTGCTGCTTCTTCCTACCAGTCACGGGATCATAGTTCTCTCAGGTGTAGGATGGGAACAATCCTTGTTTGCAAAACTTAGAACGTTTTAGTAAGAATCACATAAGATACTACGTGGGAAAACATTTTGAAAAACATTCAATACTATATTGATGTTCTAATGAATAAGAAAAATTATCCATCTCTCTAGAAAAATTTTTTTAAGAGAAGTGTGTATGCAAGATGTGAAGGCCTTATAAGTTCAGCTTTAAGAGAAAATGCAGTTGTTTCATTATTTCTAAATGGTTGACTATTTTATGGTCTTTCCCTGGAAAACAACTGAGAAGCCCATAATCTCTCTCTTGTGAGAAGCTGCATAAGTGGCTCTTTTTTGTTGTTGTTCTTTTTCTTTTTTTTTTTTTTATTTTAGAATATTACGGGGACACAGATGTTTAGGTTACATATATTGCCTTGTGACTCTTAATAGAAGATAGTCTTTTAACCATACAGAATTCAGATAACTTAATTAAAAGATAGCTTGAAGTGTGATCATGTTTTTCCTTTTAAAAGAAAACCTTTTATTCTACAAATATTGATTTAATTGAAAAAATTCTTACATAACGTATTGCTTGTTCCATGCCAGGCACTGTTCAGAGTGTTTTATTAGCATTAACTCGTATATTCCACCTACCAACCCTTGAGGAAGGCAGGGCTGTTACCCTGTTAGACAGAGGAAAGCACTGTGAGGCACAGAGCCGGTTCAAGCTCATCCAGATGCTCGAACAAGCATCTGGTGATGGGAGAGCCCAGGTTTCAATGCCGGAGACCTGGCTGCAGTCAGCTAGCTCTGTGATGCCCCAGGTGGCCAGGCCTCCTGTCTCTGAGGTTCTGATGAGGGAGCCAGATAGGCAGATAAGCAAGTGCAGGAAAGTGCCAGGTGCTATGGGGCGTGTGGAGGCTTTCTAGGGCACCTGCCTCTAGGGCCTCTTCTCCATTGCGTTTGCTCCTAGCAGTGAATTAGAGAATGTAGTGCTTTAGTTTTATTCTGTGTAAATCGACAGCCCTGGTTGGTGGAGTGGATCACACACATAGAAGTTAAGAACATCAGAAGTTGAAAACTGCTCTGGCAGTTTTCCCGCTTGCTACCTTCACCCTACCTTGTGTTGAGAGTTTCTTCATTGCACAAAGTAGCATCGAGAGAAACAAGTTCTGCAGTCACCTGTCAAAAAACCTGCTTTGCAAGGCTGACATCAGCTAAAACCCAATGTCTTTTGATAGAAGGAAAAGGCCAATCTTTTTTCAACTTTTGGGGCTAGACAATAAGTCATTGGTTTATCGTTTAGAGGTTCTTCTTACGACTTTACAACAACTGTGTATAAGTGGTTATGAGTGTACTTAATGATGAGAATATTCATAATATGCTCATTTTCATCAAGTGGAAAACTCACTCTAAAGCCCTGAAACAGAGTCATATTCAGTTTTATAATCTATCACTCATCAGCGAAGAGTCATTTAGAGCTAAGAAATCTATAGAATTATTTAAAATCCCTTTAGTAGTTAGCAAAAATAGTTTGTCTATATCCACAGCATGTTTTCTTTTTGAAATGGAGACAGCAAATGAAAGCAATTCACTGTGGTTGGGATGTCCATCTGCCAGCTAAATTGTGAAGGCTCGTGGTAGACATTCCCAACTAGGGGCAGCATTATAATCAGGAGGTCTCCTGTTGGGGACCTGCCCGATGCAGAAGTGAGAGGCGGCAGAATGATGGCACTCAGAGAACACTAACCAGGATAAAAAGAAAGACACCCCTGAGACTAACCTGTGCTCAGCTACTTGGCTGTTTTCCTCGTTTTTGCCAGATTTTGCTTGAAACCGTTCACTGATGGCATCTCTGCCAGAAGGTGGCTGTTAGGCACAAGGGGTCAAGGCCTGGACTTTGTTTATGTTAATGTCACAGATCTGATACTTGAAGATTAACTGGGATACATTCTTCTAGACTTTGTGTTCTTGCAAAATTCCACATTTATTTAATGTGGTTACAATGAAAAGTGTTTTATAAAGTGACTATAACCAATTAGTAATGGACATCAAGTGATATTTCATGTTTTTTTATATGACGATAGACCACATTTATATACATTTTAACTTACAAATGGAAAGAAGCATGCTTCATGTTTTATCACTACTTGATTGGAATGGGATAAATAGTTCATTTTAACAATTGTGTGATGTCCTTTAAGAAGTCTGTAAATACGCTGGATTCTGGCAGGCCACACTGTCTAATACACCTCACTTGGGAATGTCCAGAGTGCCTGCCATTCATTGCCCAGACTTCAGAGGTGCCATACAGACAGATGAGTAGCTGATTCAGTTCATGTATTTTAGAAGTAGTTTTGGCCCAGAATTATTTTAATAGATCTTATGTAATTTATCATTTAAAAATAGTTATGTATTGGCCATGAAGTGAAAGTATTGATAATTAAACTGCTTGTGTTCTTTTCTTTATTCTTGAACAGAGAAAAAGAATTGTAAGATGGTTTAACCATTTAACCTTTTTTATTGAAATAGATGTTCATTTGGATTTGGAAGACCGCCTGGCGAAATTTATGAAGACAGAAGAAGCCATTATATACTCATATGGATTTGCCACCATAGCCAGTGCTATTCCTGCTTACTCCAAGAGAGGGGACATTGTGTTTGTGTAAGTAACCTTTACCTACTTTTCTAACAAAAATTTCTTTGGAAATAATACTGACCATCGTAGAGAATTATGTCAACAGAAGTTATCTGCCTAAAATAATGTTGATATTTTTTGTTTTTAGAGAAATGTATAGTAACCTCAGGCAAGTAATTCTACAAAATTTGTAAGACCTTCACTCAGAAATGCTTGAAGGTGTCAGTAGTAGCTTATCTGCCCTTATGATTTTATTTATGATATTCAAATGAGGCCAGCGCTCTGCCTTCCCTGTGCAGCTATGTCCGTGTGGTGTCCTTGTGACTCCATGGTCACAGCCTCACATGGTCACCACGCTGCCTTGTAAAGTCACTCCCTGTGTCATCTCCCGCTTACCCCAAACTCCTTGTCTCTGCTGATCTTGCTTCTTAAGCTTATTGAGAACAGAGGGGCCATGAATTGGGAACTTCCCTGACTGCCCCAAAGCCGCTGCATTGGGCTGCTATTTACTGAGAAGGGAAAGGGCCGAGAGGAGACACAGAAGGGCTGCCCTCGCCCAGGCAGCTGCTCACACCCGTCAGAAGCGTCCACCACTCCAGCCCAAGCCTCTGTCCTCTTTTGAGTGGACTATTAAATGACTCTTAATTTGCAGTCTCAAATTTACTTTGGTTTTCTCCTTTCCTTTTTAACACTATAGCTAGAGTAATCTTTTAAAAATGCACATCTGATTATGTCACACTCTGCTGATATGTATAAGAGCTTCTGTTATTCCTAACATAAAGACCAAGTTCTTAATTATGTTCTTGTGAGTTCTAGACACCTTTTCAGGCTAATCATGTACCATTTCCCCTGAAGTGGTTAAGGTGTAGCCTCGCCAACCATATGCACTGATCCTCTCTCCTCAGGGCCTTTGCACATGCTAGTGCCCATGCCTAGAATACTGTTCCTTCTTTCCTCTCCTAGTTAATTCCTGCTCATCCTACACACACATTGCCTCTGTGGCGGGGCCTTCCCCAACCTCTCAGAGCAGGTCAAGACCCCTGCTGCATGTGGGGAAGATCTCACAGCCAAAGAGTATTTGGTATCCTCATGAATCCATGCTCACTCCAGCACTCAACACTGCCTGTCAAGACCACTGTGCTTCTAGAGCCTCCCTTATACACATATGTGCATGCGTGTACATACTGACTCTGCTCTCTTGCTTCATGCTTGCTGCACTCTTCTTTTGTAATACTCACAACAGCTTATAATTTTATATCTGTGTGGTTATTTGCTTCTGCTTCTTGCTGAGAGCCCATTGTTTGGGATAGCATTTATTATTTAGTAGTGCTCAATAAACATTAGTTCAGTAAATGATTGGATGGAAGCTAGAACTCCAAAGAGGGATCCAAGTGACTGAACGTTGGAACCTGACCTCCCTCAGTGCCTGCGCTGTCCTATTACTTAACACTCACCATTGAAACTCCCGCCCGTGCAGTGGCAGAACCTTCCGTCGCACTTTCTCCAGAGCTGACTCTGACTCTACCTGGGATTTTCGGGACTCGTGGCACCCGTTCCCTCACCATAGCCCTGCAACAACCTGGGAGCACTCCAGCAAATGGCCTGGGCCTAAGTAGTATTGTATTCTGATGTGACCATGAAAACGAATATTTTTATTTTTTGCAAAGTTAAAAAAAATCACAGAAATACTCATCACAAACTTGAAAGCCATTGATTTAAACATTGTCTCTAGGTTTTTAGTGAAAGTAGAGTACAGACAACTGCAGTGTCATCTAGTATCATTTTATCCACAAGCATCCCACTGTAAATTGCTTTTTGAGTTTAAATCCAGAAAAAGTTTATGGTTATAGGTGAACGTGTACACATCCTTTGATAATAAATACTACATTGTCTTTTTTGTTTCAAGTACCAGGAAGCCTAGGCTGAATTCACTCCTGTGTTATACCCAGTGTCTTAAAATTTCAGTTTCCAGTGAATCATTAGACAACCTAATTATTCTGTTCTACGTAATTTTAAATATTCTGCCTGAATCCAGGACTGCTAGAGGTAAAAACAGTGTTTGGTAAATTGGTTTTGATAAATTTGTTAGGTGTAAACATCGTCTGATGCTTCCTTTCAGTAAACAGTGATAATGCTTTGCCAATGGTAGGTCTCAGCATCGTGGTCATTCATGTAATTAAGTCTCTCCTGTCACTCCACTAAGTCTATGTTCATGTTACTTCATATATTTTTTTTTTAATTTAACTTTGTACATTGAGATAATTGTAGATTCACAAGCACTTGTAAGAAATAATGCAGAGATTCTATATACTCTTAACCAGGTCTCCCCCACTGGTAACCTCTTGCAGAACTAGCACAGTTTCATAGCCGGGGGGGAGGGGCGGGGGGGTGGATATCAACTTTGTTGTGGTCAAGATACAGAACATTTACATCACCACAAGGATCTTTCATGTTACCATACCCACGTTCCTCCCACCCTACCCACACTTTAACTCCTGGCAACCACTAATCGATTCTCCACTTTATAATTTTGTCATTTGAAGAATGTTACATAAATGGAATCATCCAGTAGGTAGCGCTTTGGAATTGGCTTTGGAATTTAGCGTAATTCTCTGGTGACTCATCAAGTTGTTGCTTATATCAAGGCTTGATTCCTTTTGATTGCTGAGTGTTATTCCATTGCATGGATACACCAGTTTGTTGAACCAGTTACCCATTAAGGACATCTGGGTTGTTTCCAGTTTTTGGCATTACAGATAAAGCTACTCTAAACATTAATGTACCGGTTTTTGTGTGAACAAAAGTTTTTATTTCTCTTGGATATATGCCAAAGGGTACAATTTATGGTATTGCATATTTAGTTTTTTAAGGAACTATCTAGCTGTTTTTCCAACGTGGCTATACCATTTCACATTCCCAAAAACCATATATGAATGATGCAGTTTCTCCATCCTCAAGAGCATTTGGTGTTGTCACAATTTTTTTTTTTTTTTTTAACCCAGTCTGATAGGTATGTAAAGTTATCTCATCGTGGTTTTAACTTACGTTTCCCTGATGGCTAATGATGTTGAACATCTTTTCATCTGCCTATTTGCCATCTCTTCAGTGAAATGTCTGTTCGTGTCCTTTGCCCATTTTCTAATTATATTATTTATTTTTTTTACTGTTGAGTTTGAGAGTTCTTTATACATTCTAGTTAATAGTCCTTTATCAGATACATGGTTTGCAAATAAGAATTTTGATGTTCACGTGTTCATTGCTAATGTCTAGAAATAAAATTGTTTTTTTGTGTGCTAATCTTTTATCATACAATGTTGCCAAACTCACTTACTAGTTCTAGGAATTGTTTTTGTAGATTTCTTAGGGTTTTCCATGTAGGCAATCATGTCATCTGCAAATAGGTAGTTTTATTTCTTTTCTGATCTGTATATTTGTATTGCTTTATTGCACTGGCTGGAACTTCTACAACTATGTGTTAAGGGTAATAAGAACAGATATCCTTACCTTGTTCCAGATCGTAGAGAGACAGCGTTCAATTTTTTACCATTATGAAGTATGTTAGGTGTAGCTTTCTTATAGGTGCTCTTTATCGCATCTCCTTACCCACCCCACACCCACCATGTTTCTGACCGTTTTTATCGTGAATAGGTGTTGGATCTTGTCAAACATTTTCTCTGTATTGATTGATACAATCATGTGATTTTTTTCTTCTTTAGTCTGTTAATATGGTAGATTACAATGATTTATTTTCAAATATTGAACCAGCCTTTTATACCTGGAATAAACACCACTTGGTTATGGTGTATAATTCTTTTTATATATAGATGAATTTTATTACTAATGTTTTGTTAAGGATTTTGTATCTGTATTCAGGAGGCAGATAGTTTGTCTGGTTTTGGTAGCAGAATAATGCTTCATAAAATCAATTGGAAAGTGTTCCCTCCTCTTCTATTTTCTGGAGCAGATTGTATAGAATTATTTTTAATTCTTTAAGTGTTTGGTAAAATTCTTCAGTGAAACCATCTGGGCCTGGAGATTTTTTTTTTGGAAGTAATTAATTGTGAATTCAATTTCCTTAGTAGTTATTGAGCTATTCAGATTATCTATGTCTTGTTGCTCCATGAATTAATATAAACGTGTTTGCAGACAGGATTCGTCTTAGGAGTTTTGCAGAGCTTTGCCCGGAAGGAATATGTAAACATGTTGGTTTGCATTTCAAATGCTGTTACACTCAGAAGGGCGTCTCTGAAAGACAGTAGCGGCTGTATCCCACAAGGCGCCGCATTTCTCAGACCTAAAGGTTTGGATTTGCTTTGTAAAGCAGAGTGAATCTGTTAAAAACTACAGGATGAGAGCTAACAATGGAGTGCCTCCCACAACAGACAGCTGCCCGAATGGCTAGAAGCAAAGCTCTTGTTTGAACACTGCAGACTACCTGTCTCCATTCACAATAACCTAATAAATATGGAGCCAACATATCTCTGTTTAACTCCTCTGTTAAGTGATAAACTTACCTTAGAATTTAGAAGTTAATCTTTGAAAGATTTTGTAACCATTTGTTCACGTAGATAGAATTAGTTAAAGGATCTGTAGAAGCCTTTTGAAAATCTGTTAACCTGAGAGGAACTACCTGTTGTTATGTAAATCTGTTACCCCTGGCAATTGATCACTATTCCCTATAAGTTACCATGTAAGACCTCATTCGGGCCTTTTTGAGACCCACGGAGAAGGTCTAGGCCCCCTGAGATCCCGCTTTGCTTGTAATCTTTATAAACTTACAAAACAATATCTTTGTCTCTGTGTATTCTTTTATTTTCCATTTTTCTCTATTATTTTCTTATCCCTTGCAACTCCACCAAAGGGACCCGGTTTTTTGCAGGGAAGGTTGGCCATGTTCCCGGCAATGTCTTATTGAGTGTGTTGAGATAATTTGTGTTTTTCAGGGAATTGGTCACTTTTTTTCTAAATTGTCAAATTTCCTACCTCAGCCTCCCGGGTAGCTGGGACTACAGGCATGTGCCAATGCATGCGGCTTTGATTTTTTTTTTTTTTTTTTTTTGACCCATGGATTATTTAAAAGTATGTTGTTTACTTTCCAGGTATTTGGAGATTTTAAATTTGTTATAGTTTGTTTTATGGCTTATGATGTAGTCTATATTGGAATATGTGCCATAGGCTCTTAAAAGGAAAATGTATTCTGCTGTTTTTTGTTGGAGTGTTCTGTAAATGTCAATTAGATCTTGTTGGTTAATGATGTTGAGTTCTTCTATCTCCTTGATTTTCTATCTAGTTCTATCAGTTGTTCAGGGGTAGTAAAGTCTCCAACTGTAATTGTGTGTTTGTCTATTTCTCCTTTTGGTTGTATCAGTTTTTGCAGCTCACGTTTTGTAACTTTGTTGTTTGGTTGGTGCATATTTTGGATTGCTAAATTATCTTGGTGAATTGACCCTGTTAGCATTATGTAATGTCTGTCTTTGTCTATGGTAATTTTCTTTTTTCCAATGTCTACTTTATCAGATGTCGTTTTCATTATGTATTTATTTTATATATTTGTGTGGGTATATATATAATTTTTACTACCTATATCATTATATTTTAAGCGAGTTTCTTGTAGACAGCATATAATTAGGTCACATTGTTTAGTCCACTCGACCTGCTCTATCTTTAAAGCATGTATTTGTTCATTTACATGTAATGTAATTATTGATATTTAGGATTTGAATCTGCCATTTTGTTGTTTCTTGTTTGTTCTCCCTACTTTTTGTTGCTCTATTTTCTTTTTCCTGCCTTTCTGTGAGTTAATTGAAACTGTCTTAGAATTACATCTTTGTCTATAGTATTTTTAAGTGTTTCTTTTTGTATAGCTATTTTAGTCATTGCTCTAAGTATAATATTACATTATATATATGTTATCACAGTCTACTGGTGTCACCATTTTACCAGTTCAATTATAGAAACCCTTACCTCCCTTTATATTCCTTTATTCTTCTCACTTAATAGTATATTGTGATTGTTTTAAATATTTTCTGTACATACAGTGAGAACCACATCAGACAGTGTTACACTTTTTTGCTTTAACTGTCTGAAATAATTTAGAAAACTCTAGATGAGAAGAAAAGCCTAGCGTATTTTCCCTTTTTTTGTTTGTTTGTTTGTTTAACTTACTGTACTCTTTCTTCCTTTCTGATAATCTAAGGATTTAAGGTTCTTCTTTTATGGCTTTTTTTCCTATTTAGAGGACTTTCTTTAGCCATTCCTTTAGAGCATATCTGCTAGTGACAAAGTCTCCTAGTTTTTCTTCAGCTGAGAATGTCTTGATTTCTCCTTCATTCCTAAAGGATATTTTTGCTGGTTATAGGAAACTTGGTAGCAGTTCTTTTCATTCAGCATTTGAAGTATATGGTGACACTTTTTTATGGTCTATTGTTTCTGATGAGAAATCTGCTGTCATTCACATTATTTTTCCCTCTGTGTAAGGTGCCCTTTGTCTCTGGCTGCTTTCAAGATTTTTTTCTTTGTCTTTAGTTTTCAGAAGTTTGACTGTGATGTGTCTTTGGCATCTGTTTATTTGGGTTTACCTATGAGTTTTGCTTATCTTCTTTAATCTGTAGGTTTAAGCCACGTGGCACATTTGGGGGATATTTAGCTCTTGTTTCTTTGAGTACTTTTTTAGCCCCACCTTCTTTCTCTTCTTCTAGAATTTTAATGACATGGATGTTAGGATCTTTTATTATAATCCCACAGGTCCCTGAGGCTCTGTTCATTTCTTTCTAGTCTATTTTCTTTCTGTTGTGCAGTGAATAATTCCTATTGCTCTGTCTTTCAGGTCACTGATAACTTTCCTCTCTCTCCTTCATTCTGCTCCTGAGCCCTCCACTGAGCTTCTTATCTTGGTTATTTTGTTTTTTAGTTCTGATATCTGCAGGGGACTCTTCTTTGTATCTTTCATTTCTTTGCTGAAGCTTTCTATTATATTATTATATTTGTTTCAAGCATGTTCATAATTTGCTCATTGAAACATTTTTATCGTGGCTGCTCTAAAATTGTTGTCAGATAATCTTGATATCTCTGTTATCTCACTATTGGCATTTGTTGTTTTCTTTCATTCTGTTTGATGTCTTCTGATTCTTGTTATAAGTGATATTTGATTGAAACCTGGACATTTTCATACTATGCTATCTATTATCATCTATACGTTATTTAAGCCATCTATTTTAATTGGCATTCTTAGACACTGTTCCAACAAGGGAAGGGGCTAGGGGCATGTTGCTTCATTACTACCATGGGGACATATACTTCAGGGTCTCTACTCAGCCTCCATATACATGGGTTGGGGAGGTTCTTTGTTGTTGCTGAGTAATGGTATTAGTGCTGACACTGTCTAGGCCCCAGTGGAGGTGGGGAGAATTCTCCATTACTGCCAGGTGGAGATAGAAGTTCGGACTCTCCATGTGGTATCCACTGACACCACGGGGTGGTGGGGGTGTCCACTTGTTACAAACTGGCAGGGATAAAAGTCCCAGTTCCCTGTTTGGCTTTTTCTGACATCACCTTAGGAGGGATGTTGGGGTGCCTTGTTACAGGCTCTCAAGGGTCAGAGTCTAGTTCCCTGCTCAGCCTTTGCTGGTGTGGATGTGGTTGGGGGGCCACAGTTTTCCTGTGGTGTTTGGCTGCAGTAGAGTGGTTAGTGTCCAAAAGTTTTCTTTCTAGCTGGCCTGCCAGTATTGCTTCTGATGGCAAAATAATGGCAGAGTAATGTGTCAGTCTAGTTGGAGATAACACTGATGGTGAGATGTGCACCAATATTTTATGTATTCCTTAGAAAGAGGAAAATATGTGAATAAACCGATGTGCCATCATCCATAGTAAGATGCATGGCGATTTCAGAGAGGCTAAAATATGGCAAGAGTATGCTTCTTGAAATAGTTTCAATACAGTAGTTATGTGAAAGGGACTTAAAGAGTGAAGAGCAATGACGTATAAATGTTCAAACATATTTTATTTACTTGCTGTATTCAAGTTAACAATTGGAAATTGGTCAGCTTACGAAAAGCAAGCATTCCTTTTCTGAGAACGTTGACAAGGCCCTTTAAACCCTAATTTGGTGGATCTCTCTTCCTTGCAGAGATAAAGCTGCTTGCTTTGCTATTCAGAAAGGATTACAGGCATCACGTAGTGACATTAAGTTATTTAAGCATAATGATATGGCTGACCTGGAGCGACTACTAAAAGAACAAGAGGTTGAAGATCAAAAGGTATGATTCTTTTGAAGAAAATTATACAGTTCTTTTGTACTTTCCAACCAGCTAAATTATATATGGAATGGTAATTTGTCATGAAACTTGCCCACGGATCACATTTGGATATTAAGTAAGGGTGTTCCTGCATGTTAAATGTACTTTATGTTGGAGAGCCACGTCTGATTGTAATTGCCTTGTCATTGCCATAATTATAGATGGCACATTTGGGGGAAGGTAATCCAGGCAGCTTTCTAAGAGAGATCAAGAGAGGGAGAGAAACAGCGTGCACTTGATAAGTGGGGGAGATAATACACCCTCAACTAGGCATAACGACACCAAAACTCATTAGGACCTTAATTAGATATACCTAGTGAATTCAAAATGGGCTTTTTCATATCAGAATAAATCATGTATCAGTTAATGGAGGAAAGAATCACAGCAAATCTTAATTAATACTAATATGTGAGCAAAGTGAGACCCTTTCTCCCCGACCCCACCTCTATCCTGGCGCTGCTGCTTGTGGGAAGTGACTGCCCGAAACATGGTCTCCTTTCAGCTTGCAGCCCTGTTTCCAGTTCTTCTTTCCCAGGAACCTACATAGCCCCTGGTGATGGTGGTTTGGAAGTAGCTCCTTGGTGTTCTGATTAGAGAGTGGAACAAAGGAAGTGTTTAGAGCGTCACCATTAGAATTACAGCTTATTTTGCCTAAGAACGTGGATGAATAGGGCTCTGGTCTGTGTTTCTATGCACAACATGGTGTATGTATTGCACTGGGAATCTGGTCACCACAGCCTCCGTCTCAAATGCCATTTCCAAGTGGACTTTGCCAGTGGAATTCATTCATAACCAAAATAACTGATAAAAATGCTTATCACATTCACATTAATTTTGTGTTAATTTCCACTTTTCCCAAATATTTGCCTTATTCATTAAGGATTCTGTCATCTTTGTTTAGGTGTCAGTCCAAGTGTAGCACTTTACAAATATACACATTTTCATGGTGAATATGCATGAACTCACCATTTTATGCTAGATCTGCTATAGCCCAGTGTTTCATATTTACACAGTTTAGAAAAATCTACAGGGAAAATCTTAAAATTGAGAGCAGTCCACTCAATTTCTTTCTACAGGCTGTGAAAAGATGTCTCTTATTCTGATTCGGTAATAGAGTGCTGGCCACCAGACTGAAGAACATTGTCTGGGAAAGTATAACCAGTGAGCCAGTCTGCTGCCAAGTTATTGTGTAAATTTGGAAAACATCATATTCAAGTGTTATGTGGCTAGGGGGTGGTTTACAGGATTTGTAATCCATGGAGCTTTTTTTTTTTAATGAGTAAGAACAAGAAATAAAATTAAGTATCTTGAAAGTTATTTCTACTTTATAATTTTTTTACTTTTTTTACTAATTGATTTATACTACATTTTCTTGCCAAGAATAGGCTTTCTAAATAACTTTACATTTGGGTTTTTAGATATATTGTTTTCCAGTTTCATTTTCACACAATTGTTAGCTTTTTGAATGTTTTCTTTGACAATTTTCCAAGTGTTGTGGTTCATAGATTATTTTAAATCTCTTTTCCTACAGGTGTCTTTTGTCCCATATTAATTCTTGTAAAAAGAATGGGCAGTAGATATGAACAGTAGCTCATAGAGTACACATAGCTATGAAAGTGAAAACATAACTTGGTCTCACTAATAAGTAAGGAAATTAGGCTAGTAGTTCTTGCCTGTCAAAATAGGGCACATTTTTAACAATAATAGTAAGTGCCAACACAGGTATGGTGAGACAAAGGATACTCCTATAACACTGGAAAGAATTTGTATCAGTACTGTCTTTCTAGAAGGTAAATGGGCAGATATATTCTAGGATCCTAGAATATCCATACCCTTTGACTCATACCCAGGGTGTTGCCTTTAGAAAATAATCAGAAATGGTGTCAGAAATATTTATATGTTATATAAAAAAGCAAAATGAGGGGGGAAAAAACCTAAATTGAACATTAGAGAAATAGGTAAGCAATTTATAGTATACCCACAAGGTAGAATATCTCCATTAAAATCATGTTTTAAATAATATTAAATAATGTGGAAATGCTCAAAACGTAATTTTTTTAAAATCAGATCCTAAAACTATTACAATAAAATCCTGATTTTGAACAAAGTAATTTATAAATGTATGTATTTACAAGAAAGAAAGATAAAAGTTATCACTGTGTGGTATGACTGGCTAATTTTTAAAATTCTTTTTTATACTCTATCATTTCCCAAGACTCCTGCATTGATTATTTTTAAATCATAAGAAGAGTACTTCATTTTTAAAAAGGCAGGCAGAGGCAGGATGCCCATGTGTTGAAGTGAAGGTGGCTTCTCTTCGTCAGTGACTCCTAACAGATCAGTATTGCAAGCTTCCAGGCATTCGGTTTTGAGTTGACAGAGTGAAGATGATTGTGCAACCTCAACGACACGTGCTTTTGTATACCTCAATGGACACAGTTGTTTTTAGTGCTACTGCTATGAGTTCTACAGTACCCCTTAAAGCTGAGGTCCCCAACCCCTGGGCCGCAGACCAGTACCGGTCTGTGGCCTGTTGGGAACCGGGCTACAGAGCAGGAGGTGAGTGGCAAGCGAGTGAAGCTTCATCTGTATTTACAGTCGCTCCGCATCACTTGTATCACCACCTAAGCTCCGCCTCCCCACCTACGCCCCATTCCCGGTCCGTGGAAAAATTGTCTTCCACGAAACTGGTCCCTGGTGTCAGAAAGGTTGGGGACCACTGCCTTAAAGCATTGCTCTGATGCTTTTTCATTTTGATAGTTTCTAATGTCCATTGGAGCAGAAGCTTAGAGGCAAGAAGCCTTCCGGTAGTGGCAAGCTCTGTTTGTGGATCTCAGTGTTTTTTAGGCCAATAAACCTGAAGCATCTACACATGAAAGCATGTGAGAGACTTGCCATAAGTGGAGTGGGGAGGGGGGTGTTGTTTGAAAAGGGCCCTCCACCCCACCACCTGGGAACATCACTGGGCAAGATCATAGTCTAGTTTACTTGTCCTTGTGAGAGGTCACTGGGGAGTAAGGAAAAGGGTTGCATCTGTTTTTTGGTAGGTGAAGGAGAGCAGGGTTTGTCTGATTTTTTTACTTTTTATGAGGGAAGATAGCCAGTACATAAAAAGGAAACCACCATGGTATATAGTGAAGCCCCCTGTTCCCTTCTTCCAGCTTAATCAACATTCTGCCATTCTTGTACCATCTATACCTCCACCTCCTCTTCACCCCATCTTCATGATGATGATGATGATAATAGTGGTTCTTCCTTATAGTTCTTTAAGTGAAATGTAAAGACATTGAACACACAAATCCTTGCCATACAATTTCGAACATTGGTTACACCCATGTAACCCAGGAACCTTGGCCCTTTCATGATATAAAACATTCCCGTCTCCCCAGAAAGTTCCCTTGGGCCCCTTCCCAGTTATTCTGGGGTTGGAGGGTTTTATTTGTGTTTTAGTATTCTCAGAATGCCTAAATCATGTGTGTGTGAGATCACCTAAGTTGGTATTGTAAGCTGAAAAACATGTCTGAGAGAAGACAGTTCTGTTACTCATTTCAAAATAACCAGATTTCAAACACTGATCTTTAAATTCATTCACACTATTTTTTTAATGAATAAATCTTGTAAGGTGAAAATGCTAGGGAGTATGTAACAGATTATATATTTGGGGTTACTGAAATTTAAGATGTCTGCTTTTTTTCTTTTAAAGAATCCCCGCAAGGCTCGTGTAACTCGACGTTTCATTGTGGTAGAAGGATTATATATGAATACTGGAACTATTTGTCCTCTTCCAGAATTGGTAAGCAACCATGTGTAGTCATTATTTTAGTATTTGGTCTGTTTGGCAGATGTGCCTTTTGTTCATGACCGCTTTTAATGTACAACATCTGCATTGCTTTGCCTGGTAGATATCACAAGCATATTTTGATCATGCCAGGGAAGTAGATAGATGAACAGTAAATGCCAGTGCTGGCCTTGAAAGAGTAAAAACCAACTTTATCAAGGTGGAATTGACAAATAATAAAATACACCTACTTTAAGTGTATAGTTCGATAAGTTTTGACAAATGTATGTACCCCTGTCACCACCACCACCACAGTCAAGAAATAGAACATTTCCATCACTCCAGAAAGTTCCTTCATCCCTGGCCCCGGGCAGTCATTGATCTGCTTCCTTTTCCTGTAGATTAGTTTTACTAAATGAAAGCATATAATATGCATTTTGTAAAACTCAGCTTTTTGGTAGTGAAAACAATATAATGTTTTTAGAAAGCATGACCGTAGAGATTTTCTTTATTGAGTTGAAATTCACATAACACAAAACTAACCATTTTAAAGTGTACAGATTAGTGGCATTTAGTACGTTTACCACGTTTTGCAGCCATCATCTCTAGTTCCAAAACCTTTTCACCACTCCCAAAGAAGCCCCCATACCTATTAAGGGGTCACTGTCCATTCCCGCATCCCTAGCTCCTGGCAACCACCAGTCTGCTTTCTGTCTCTATGGATTTACCTATTCTGGATATTTCCTATAAATGGCATCATGTATGTGACCTTCAGTTTCTGGCTCCGTTCACTTAGTACATAATGTTTTTAAAGTTCATCTACATTGTACTATGTGTCAGTACTTCATTCCTTTTTAATGCTGAGTGATGCTCTATTGTGTGGATAATACATTTTGTTTATCTTTTCATCTGCTAATGGATATTTGGGTTATTTCTACCATTTTGCTATTGTGAATAGTGCTACTATGAACATTTGTATACAAGTATTTGTTTGAATCCTTGTTTCCAATACTTTTGTGTATATACCTAGGTAATTGCTGGATCATATGGTAATTCTCTGTTTAACTTATTGAGGAACTGCCATACTGTTTTTCACAGTGACTACAGCATTTTACATTCCCACCAGCTACATGGGAATGTAAATCCAGAAACAGGATTCCAGTTTCTCCACATCTTTGCCAACACTTATTATTTTCTGGTTTTTTTGTTTGTTTGTTTTAGCCTTCCTGGTGGATATGAGGTAGTATCTCATCGTGGTTTTGATTTGTGTTTCACAGATGACTAATGATGTTGAGCCTCTTTTCTTGTGCTTGTTGGCCATTTTGTATATCTTTGAAGAAATATCTTCTCAAGTACTTTGTCCATTTTTATTTGGGTTGTTTGTCCTTTTTTTTTTTTTT